TTTCCTCGTATGACATTCCTCTAAGACCAGGAATCATTCTTGCTTCCAATCAGAAGGTACCACACCTTCAGATAAGGATTTTTGAAACAGTAAAGTTAAGGGTCGGCAAATAATATCCCTCATCTCTTTTAACACTATAGGTAAGATGCCATCAGGGCCCTGTGATTTATTTATTTTGATTAGCATTAAAAATAAATGCCTACTCACTAAGACTATTGTGCAAAATAATTTTGTCAACTTTACTTTAATTTCGTATTTCAAAGGTTATGATGCAAGTTTTGTTAGAATGACCAAAAATAGAATATTCAGGCTTCAAATGGCATTCTGAGTAGTATTTAAAAAATGTTTGTATACTATTTTGTGTTTTATATATCAATTCCGTCAATCGGCTGTCAACTGCATCAGATGGATTTTTTTTCAGTTATTAAACGTATGTTCAGATTGATTAAAAAAATTAGTTTGTCAATAACATTTCTATTGTACTTATATTGTGTGTTATTTGTGTTAAATGTGTTTTATATTATGATTTTTTCTGACAGGGTTGACAAAATTCAAGGTCTCAGCTGCCAAAAATGCTGTTTAAGATAAAATAAAATCGATGGGACATTGGACCATTACAAAGAATAATAGCCGAGACTTAGATCTTTTAAAATATTTTCTCAGCATCATTAAAGAGTAAAAATAAAAACCCTCCAAGATAAGGTTGTCACTATATCCCAAAAAAAATAAATGAAAATTTTTGAAAATACATATACCGCGAAATTTGAAAAATGCATTCTAATCAGTCTAATGCAGTATTTCAATGGTAGCTTTATACCAGACCCAAAATGCTTAATAGGTTGTCACGTTGATGTAAAATTCACATTGACAAAACTAAATATGTTTTTAATTCATTCATTTTGCCAAATAGGATCACGGCCAAGTAGGCCTAACTCAGAAAGCACATAGCAAGGCACACCGTACACAAAAAAAAGGATGACGCATGGCATTCAATCCAGAGGACATTTAAATCACAGTTAATCCAAAAGGGGTGGAATTTACTTTGATATTACAGAATTGTTCAGTGAAAGTTACTGCTTGACGCAACTAGATTTTGGGATGATAGCATCCCAAGGAAGTCCAAGGTTAATGTACAAAGACCACTCAGATAACCAAATATAAATGAGCTGATACAGAAAATGTGGGAGTACCATCATTAGTCAACACTAATCAATATCTAAATAGTCTCTCTGAATGAGACAAAACTTCGCTGCACAAATTCATTGTGACGGGGAACATTACAGGTTACTACTGCCAGGGATAATTTGGTTGGAGGCCTCTAATTTGCTGCTGAAAGTGCCAGACCATTACAGCAATCCTAACTAGTGCTTCTTGTTTAAAATTGCCACATTACAGCTAGACGTCCATCACATTAGTCCTCTCCCCACTGACAGGATTAATTGAGGCATTAAGGGCACTGGCTTTAGAAGCCATTAGCCCCAGAGACAAAACCGCCACTATCGCTCTTGCAAATACAAAATGTCGGGATCCATAGCAACCAGCCGCATCGCAGCTCCATCTGTGATTCACGCGCTCCTGAATTCACCCGAGCTGCCGGCTCCTAATGCTTCCTGCATTGTTGTGTGCACAGAAAGACACTGACTTCCATGGTCAAAAAGCTTAACAAATCAGGACTGTAGCATTTCCATTTCCATAAAGCTTTGAGTTGGACAGTACAATGCAGATCTGCTCCTCTCTCTCCTCCCCCATAGAGGTTCAAACACTCTCCTCCGTACACCCACCTGCTGTTGCTGCCTCTGGTGGTTGGCTTTCTGTTTGGCACGGCGCTCCAGGAACTGTTTGGCGAACTCTTTGGCTTCCACAGTGTCCCCCAGGTAGGAGCGGATGAAGTCCAGCACGTCGTAGGGGGACTCCACCTCCTTCAGGTATGCCACAATGGTGGCAACTGAAGAGCAAGGCGGGCAGAATGGGGCACCATGTAACCCAGGACCAAGTAGGTATACAGGACCAATCCAACAAACATACCAAGTTGTGCATATGCAATTCTCAACCATCAGAACATGAGTACATAGATAGTCTAAGACCGTATGCAAGAACCAGGCAGCTTCTACTGACAAGCTCTTCAAGCCAACTGCTGTTTAAGGTCATTTCAGCAAAACATTCAAAGGCAAGTTCTCGGGGAATGAGGACGAGCCAAACTAGTGAGGCTCAACATTTAAGAGCGAAGGAGAGCAAACCAGAGAACTGCAAAGGAATCCGCCGATGCGGAGCAGGAGGCCTTACCATCAAACGAGGAGGTGGTGTTGTTGGCGGACGTGTTGAGCGCGTGCAGCATCTGCTCACACCAGGTGGTGAAGCCGTCCTGCGGCTTCATGCCCTGCAGCAGCTTCAGAAGCTTGTCCTCCTCCTCTGTGCGCTTGCGTCGGTTCAGCAGGTACGGCTCACTGCTCAGCGACAGACAGCAAACGGACGTCCACGTCACATGGGAGCAGGCCACCGAGTGGCAGACGTGCGAGATGCACAGGGATGAGGTGCCCTGCGGGCCGGCAAGCCGTACCTGAGAGACGGGCTGCTGCGGCTGGTCTTGAGGCCCATGTTGCGGAGGCTGGCCTGGCTCTTCACCGCCTCATCCCAAAGACCCAAGCTGCTGCCGCTGGACTTGGCCTCCATGCCGCTGCTAGCCCAGAGTCCACCTGGGCCATCGCTCCACTGCCCCCCCAGCGCAGACACACCAGGGTTCCCCAGCGACATGCCTCCATGCTATAAATGTAGGTGTGTGTGTTGCAGGGCGGGGGGAGGTGGGGGCACAACATTAAATTGCTTTGATTCTTCCCAAACTTTGATATGACTTGATTAACAGTAAGAAACATGTAAATCACCTCCAATCTGAGCACAAAGCTGTTTGCTGGATGCAGTTTGACTGCAAATTGCACTCACAAGCCTTGACCTTAAGATAACCATGATAAAAATGCCTTAATGGTGAAATTGCAATTTTTACATTCACTCTCTTTGTCACGATGCATATGCACCGCATATTAACAATTGACCAGGGATGTTCACAAATCCCATGGCCAATAGAAGCAGAGGGCCAATCGATGCGCGATGGTGCCGGGGTTTATACATGGGGGTGGGGCTTCGGTCTGGGGGCGGGGCCATCACTCACCCTCTCCCTCTGTTGCTGCTGGGCCCTCTGCTGCTTGAGCAGCTGCCTCTCTGCCTCCTGCTGCAGCTCCAGCACGCTCAGGGGCTTGCCAGGCTTGGCCAGCGGGACCGCGGGGCCGCCACTCCAGCCCGAGCCCACCTGCGAGGCCTGCTGCTGTGTCTGCTGGAGGAGCTTCAGGATCAGCTCCTGCTGCTGCCTGCACTGCTGGGGAGGGAGAGACCGTCACAGTCACTCACGGCGCCCCCACTGGCGCAAAGCTGTAACTGCTAGAAAAGGAATGTGCACGATTTGTTTAAAGTTACCCATCAAGTGAGTGTTACTGAACCGTGTATATACACACACACTCTCACACACACACACACACACACACACACGCACACACACAAAGGTCAAACGTGGCAAAAAAGGGGGAACGTATTTGTGGCATTGACAACATTGGCTATGTTGACTAATCGCGGCAGCACTAGCTCCTCCCCCCACACACAGCCGCTCCTCCCGTTCGCCCCATACCTGTTTGCGCCTGTATAGCTCCTCCTCCTCCCGTCTCTTCTGCTCCTCCTGCTGCCTCCTCTTCTCCTCCCGGCGCTTCCGTTCCTCTTCCTCACGCTTTGCCCTGAGTTCTGCGTCCCGTCTCTCCTGCTGGAGCTGGGGGGGGAGGAAGCCAGTGTTACTCCAAAGGTCCATGTTATATAAAACCACAGCAAACTGAAATTACCCCAGCAGGTTATGCTGATATACAGCACAGTAATACCCAGGGATGCACAGTCATAGTAGATTCTGATCTTACAACTTATTCAAAAGCAAAGAATTCATTTTAAAAATTGTCAGGCAGCAATGGTAAATTATGGGACAGCTGAAACATCCACGAAACACAGCATTAGACCATTACCACACTGTACCATAGGTAGCCACTCTCAGAACAGGAAGAGCTATCGTCCGTTTTAGCATCTCAGCATCATTAGCAGAGTCCCACATAATGAGTCCAGGACTCTAACAGCTCCGGCTCTGAATGGTAACATGCACTGAGCACTCTTACAGCTGCTCTTAGTGGAACAACGTTAATGAGGTTTTCCTGGAGGTCTGAACACAGCATCACCCCACCCCCCCAGGAAGACATGCCCCATGCCTCGGGCAGCTCTCACCTTCTGAAGCTGTTCAAGAGTTGGACCCTGAGTTGAAGAATTCATTGTTAAGTCCCACAGACTGGCTTCACCGCCTGTGGGGGCAAAGCCAAAAAGAGTCTAAGCCCTGAACTGCGTAAAGCTCTGCTGTAGCTGCAGGCTGAGCCGGCCTGCAATAACCTGTCAGGCACAGAGACCAGTGTCCAGCACATTCAGCCAATCAAGGGTCAAACACATACAAGTCACCAGGTAAGCAGCTGATATTAGGTATTTATCAGACCACTAAACTTCTACTGGATGTGGTTGTAATTAGTTGCGAGGGACTGAGGCTTCTAGACCCAGAGTGGGAGGGATTATGGTGTGTTTTCATTCATTCATGGGCTAAATCCAATCTGACCCAAAATGGGACGAACGGGAAGCTAAACCAACTAATGACTGACGCTGCACTATAATCCCACCCACCCTGGATTTTGAAGTCCTGATTATTATGAGGTCGAATGCCACTTCATGTTTTGTTTTTAGGTGTGAGAGCCATAAACGACAGCTTACACATAGAGGAGTGTGTGCCATTGGGAGCGCCGGGTGTGTGTGGGCTTGCGGGACCTTACCTGACTGCTGTGAAGCTGAGGTATGCATATCCCACATGGACCCTGTATCTGGCACTGACATTGATCTGCTCATCGAAGGCATCATACCCTGATCACCACACCTGCGGGCAAACAGGGCCACACATGTACAGGGGACCTTCCAGTTCAAGGTACATTAAATCATATCTTTGTGCGTGCAAAGGCCATGCAATTCTCATAGCTGTTTCATGTAAATGAAAGCAAATGCATTAATAAACATGGTAAGTGAGGGGCTAAGCTGACACGTCCACTGAGTGTAGCACTGAATTAGCACTCGCGTTTAACACAGAAACCGTCACCGACTATCAGCCGCTTAACATCTCAGGCTCTCAATACCAGTATATTCAGCATCTTTGGGCTTTTACTCATTGTAAGTTTGTCACCCCAGAATGTTACCAAGTAGCACAATTTGATTCTTGCTGTAGCACTTTTGGGCAATCAGGATGGGAGTGGCATCGAATGTAAGTGACCAAGCTGCTTTCCCCCCCCCCCCCCCCGCTGCACACAGACTGACCGCCACCCCAAGAGGCATGTCGCCAACTGCACAACCTACCTGTTGATGAGCTGGAAGAGCTGCTGTTGCTGCTGGAGCTGCTGGAAGAGAGCAGCCGCCGCCGCCAACTCCTGCTGCTTCTTCAGCCTCTCCTGGTCCAGGTTGCCCTGCATGGTGACACACGGGCACGCGCAGACACGCGCAGACACGCACAGACACACGCAGACACACGCAGACACACACAGACACGCACAGACACGCACAGACACGCACAGACACGCACAGACACGCACAGACACGCACAGACACGCACAGACAGACACAGACACACACAGACACACAGTCAGCCATGGGGGTTGTATCACATTCAGAGCAATGCTGAAAACGGTAGCATGCACAATATTAATGTGGCAGAAGAATTACCCACCCCCCCACGCACGCTGTCACTCACAGCAGGCCCCCGAGGTGGACCGGGGCGCAGGGGCTGTCTCACCAGCAGGGGCGGCGGGGAGGGCCCAGGGGCGAAAGGCACACGCCCCCACATCTTGATGACGTCACCCAGGGGCTGAAAGCCCTCGTCGCAGCCCCGCTTCACCAGCAGCGTCATGCTGAAGTAGCCCACCTGGAACCACTCCGACATCTCCTGGGGGGTAAAGGGACCTGGGGGGGACGGGTGGCAATTAACCCTCTGGGGGGAGGGGCGGGGGGCTGCACAGTGTGTGGCATCAGATATGAGTGTGTGTGTGCGTGTGTGTGTTTGTTTGTATTACATTGTGGGGACCAGACTTCCCCAAAAGGTATAAACTTTTTATCCTTGTGGGGACATTTTTTCGGTCCCCATAAGGATAACCGCAATTTTATAAAAATCCATTACAGACTAAAAACTAAAACAGGCAAAAGATTTGCATTTCATTTGGTTACTTATGGTTAAGGTTAGGGCTGGGCAGGGGTTAAGGTTGGGATTGTTGGAATTAAGGTCTTTCCCATACAAATGAATGGAGAGTCCCCACAAAGATAGGAATGTGTGGTGTGTATGTGTATGGGTGCCTGTGTGTACCCTGGATCTCTCCCTGTGGGTCCTTGTAGAACCACTTCATGGCAGCCTCGTGTGAGAGTGGCAGGGCGGCTGCAGTGTTGCATCTCTCCTGCAGGGTCTGGCTGAAGCTCTCCTCGTCCTGCAGTGATGCCACCATCTTCTCTGCCTCCTGCAGCATGGAGTGCACATACAGATCAAGGTGAAAACATGCCTGCTAGCTTCATCACCTCAAACTGGACAGAGCTACAGAGGAACCAAACCTGTTGCAGGTGCTTCATGCCCTCATCATCCTCAGTGTCGCCCCCTGGTGGCGGGAGGTCTGTAGCAGCAGAGGAGGGAGGGGATGAAGGCAGGCTGGAGGAAGAGCTGGGGCTCATTTGAGCGGCGCCCCCTGTGGTGACACCGTCTGTACAAAAACATTTCATTTACAGCCATATTTATGCCTGATAAAATTACTGCCTTCAGTTTAGGATAGTAATAGTAAAGCAGGAAATGTTATGAGCTTCTGCGTAAAACGAATGTGAGCCATCCGGAAAATGGTAACTTAGCCAATGACGGGATATTTAAAGCTTATGATCATTACTGTGCAGCTAGACCCAAACATGAGAATAGCAGAGGCTTGTCCACGCTGCACAGACCCACAGAGCCCAGAGGAGCCTGCAGATGCAGCCGGGGGTGGGGGGCACTGTAGCAGAGGAGCACAGCTCTATGCTTACAGAGAGCAATATGGGCCGGGTCAGGCTGGGCCCGCACTGCCTTGCTACCCAGCACACAGAACCAACCCAAGGTGGGATGCGGTGCAGAGATGGCAGCTACCTTCACTTGGCAATTTGCTGGCCTTGGCGGGCTGTGGGGCACTGGGGGGCTGGGACACCTGCGGGGGCTCCAGCTCTGGTGGGTGGGGGTGGGGCTCCAACACTGAGGAGGCAGGGGTGGAGACGGAAGGTGGGGAAGGAGGAACAGCTGACTTGGCCTCTCCATCACAGATGAGGGGCACCTCTTTCTCTTCAGCTAGAGAGGAACAGGAAATGAGGAGCAAAGAGCTTTTAAGTAACAAGACCACTCGCTGTAACCTGGGGAATAACCTGGCAACCATCGGCCAGATAAAGTTAGAAAGCCACGGAAGCTGTCACCATGGTGATCTCCATGGCAGGGAGCACCGAGAGGCTCACCTGTATCCTCCCCGCTGTCTTTCCTGGGCCGCATCAGGCTGCTTTCATCCTCTTCCTCTAAGCCCTGGAACTCCAGCTCCTTCTCCTCAGGGATGGGATCCGTGGAGCCCTTCTGCGTTATGCAATTGGAGGGGGACAGGGTGAATGTGAAAGGTGAAAAACTGAAGGAACCCAGAAATATACAAAAGGACAGATACATCTCTCTCACAGACATAAAGAGAGACGCGGATACAAACACAGAGAGGCACACGACAGACAGGGACACCCAGTTTACATATTCCTATAAACATGGGGACTCGCCTTTCATATCTATGGGTATTAGGGTGCATCAAACCCCCCAAGTGAAAAATATTTTCATGGCTATATAAAAAAAATGTTCTATCTGTACTAAAAACACACTGTGAAAAATAATTTGAAATTTGGATAAGTTCTACCGGGTCCACAACAGCCATGAAATTCTGAAATAACGGCAATAATTCATACTTTGGAATAGTTATACTGCAAGCATTAATGATTTCATGTTTTAGTATTTAAAGTGGTTAATAGTGGATATCGATGGCACCGGGGAAAAACCGCGTATCCAACAATTTGTCAATTTTACAGGGGAACGTTTTTTCTAAATGGTGGAAGTAAAACGTGACCTAGATTTGAGAGCCCTTGTGAACATACTGAAAATACTGGTGCTAAAATCTGAGCCTCGTCCATGTTCACAAGCTACTCACTTCCAAATCACAGCACAGACTGATGTCCCTTACGCGAAAATTGCATGATATGAAATGGATGTGGTTTTGTTTAGTTGCTTTAGTTTCGTTCCCGCCCATTTTTCACTTACGCGGATTGCGCCATACTATAGTGCACTTACGCGGTTTTTCCCAGGTGCCATCGATATATCAGTCTTCTTGATGTTCACTATCAGTTCTTAAGATAGACATACTATTATACTTGCCCAGAAGTATATTGCTATTATATTGCTGCTGGAAGTATTGCTCTGTAACAGTAGGCCTATGCCCTATACACCTGCACCAACTATATCAGACATCAGACATGTATCACAATAATTTAATAATTTAATTTGTGCATTTAAAATATATTTGTGAACTTCTGAAGTACCTTCGTTTTTCTTGCGTTTATCATTATTTTTCATATTTTCAATCTAGATGTGGACCCGGTAGATGTTAATCAAAATTAACAAAATTTTGCCCAAATTATTTTTTCATCCGGTAGAACATATTTATTATACAGCCAAAAACATTTTGAAAATCAATGGGGGTTTGATGCACCCTAATGGGTATGACCCTAATTCTAACTATGACAACCATAACTCAACCCAACACTAATCTAAACCAGAAGTGACAACCAAAATACAAGACTTTTGGCTGTTTTAGTTTCTCGATTGCATTCACAACTTTTTAATTGAGGTTTATAGATTGAAGGGACCTGAAAAATGTCCCCGCAAGCTAAAAAATTAGTTTTACCACATTGTGGGGACATTTGGGGAAAGTGAAAGGGGAAAGTAATTAGTTATTGCTGACACACCACAGCACACAGTGTCCTCTGCATTTAACCCATGTGTCACATCATGACATAGCAGGGGGCAACTAACTCAGCACCCGGGCTTTGAGCAGTAATTCAGCAATTCTTGGAGGCAGTACTTTGCACAGGGTACCTCAGTGGTACTTAACTGGTCGGGGATTTGAACCAGCAATCTTCCAATTAGTGCACATCTCTAACCAACTGACCACCACTGCCACTATGTGTAATACACACACACACACACACACACAGAGAGACAGACACACTACCTTGATGGACAGGAATGCTCCGGAGGAGTCGAAGGTACCCATCTCTCCGTCCTCCTCATCCGTGCACCATTCCGGCAGCCCATCCCGCTCATCCTCCAGGCCCTCACTGCCTGCGCGCCGGCGCCCCCCTTCAGAATGCTCTCGGAAGTCGAACTCAAACTTACGCCGGCGCCCCTCCCCAGGCCCGGTGTGCTCCCGCCAGCCCGCAGAGCGAGGCCCCCCATCTGCGAGAGTGAAGACAGACAACACGGCCATGGTCACCACATGGGAAGTGCAGGCTGACTGGAAACTCATTTTTTTCTAATGAAAATACAGCAGTACAAAGAAAATATTACCCTAATTATGCCCAAGCCTACCCTACACATTTTGGGGAAATCTGAAAATGAAATCAGGTGTAGATCTTCATCCATATAATGTTTTTGTGAAACAGTAATAAGATCCATCAAATACTTTTTGGTTTATCACATTCACAATGTCAAATGTCGTCTGCTTTCACCCTTCCCTTTGATGCCACTAAATGGTGTTTCTTCAATTTTGGAGTTGTCTAAAAATGTGAACAGTTCCAGTTCGTCACCCAAAGCAATGGGACTAGAATATGGAAGTAAATCTGTGTCATCACAATTTTATATGCCACTGAAATTCTAACATTGAACATTTATACATTGGAAATTCGATGGTCCGAATTCACATGTAAAAATACGAGGTTAAAAATACGAGTTATACATCTGGGATACCAAGGCTAAGCAATCGAATCTGTGGCTGCGTTCGACTTCATGTAGCCGCTTACAGCACAACAGCAATGCATTCCGGTCCTGACGTTTGTATCCCAGGCAGTTCCGAGGCGTTATCTGCTATTTCTCCCGAATATGACGTAAAGCAGTTATAACTGTTTTTCAGTTAATTTACCTGGTAAAATAAAGAATAAATAAATGACATAAATGCTCTAAAAGTACATGTTAGTGGAAAATGTATTATTAGTTACTGTAATGTTGCGCTGCTTTATTTGTTTAATCGTCGAGTCTGTGAAGAAGGCATTCAAGTAAGAATTGCATTTTACTCAGTACATGACAATAAAATCTTTGATTCCTTGAAATACATGTATTTGATATTTTTCCTGGCAGCTATCTTTTTACACAGGGCCACTCTACACAATAGTTAATTTTTTTCCACTGCTAACAGTTTGGATCAGGAGTTGGTTATTGTAAAAGAAGTAATGTGCATGCAGGTGATATTTGTATAGATTTATCTACACCCTTCTGGCAGTGCTGCCATTGCAGTCAGGTCTCGCACACTACGAGGAGTAGAAGTCGTCCGACTTGGCTGCAGTCAGTTTATACTCCACCCCTGCAGCCGCAACCAGATGCTCTTGTCACGTAAGCTGCAGACAGACCTAAGCCCAAGTCGAACGCAGCCACAGATTCGATTGCTTAGCCTTGGTATCTCGTATTTTTGCATGTTAATTCGGACCATCGAATTTCCGATGCATATTTCCAATGTATAAATATTCAATGTTAGAATTTCAGTGGCATATAAAATTCAAATTGTGATGATACAGATTTGCTTCCATACTAGAAAGTTTGAAAAAAACCCTTCAAATATTTTTTGAGTTATCGCACTAATGGCATCGAGTGATAAAACTGCTCCTCTGTGTCATCATGATGTGATGCTGTTTCAGTTTTGGTACTGTCTCTAAATTTAAACAGTTCCAGTTCGTCGCGCAAACAATGCATCTGCAAAGTATGAAAAAGATCCGTCTAATACTTTTTCAGTTATCACTTTAACCAAAATGTTGGCAGTGGACCGGTCCCAAAACCATGTGTTTTCCTGGGGAACACAATTGACCATACGCCTGTGGCTAGCTAAAGGCAACACAAGGTGCTCCATTTGTGGGTATATTTGGAGAAGCTTCATTCCCACAAAGCATCAGCAAGACCCAGAGAGCACGAGTACCCTAATTCAGCATTATCCAGCACATTTCGCCACTAAACCAGAGTAATATAGCCTGGCTGTCTGGGAAAGCACGGGGCGACCTGGGATCAGCCACGTCAGACTGGCCATTTCTGAAACCATATTTAGCGGGGTGACTGATCTAAGATCAGCAGTCAGGAGTTGCCATCTTACCATCTCTGCGGGTGCCCGCCACTCTCCAGCTGCCCGCCGGCTCACCGGTTGTCTCCTCCTCCTCCTGCTCTTCCCGCAGGGTGCGCCAGTTCTCGCTATCTGCACGGGCGTGGTCCTTCCGCGCCCCGGTGCCCGTCTCGTCGAAGGCCACACGCACGCCATCCCGCCTGGGGGGCTTCTCAAAACGGCGCTCGCCCCTGTGGTTGACAGAGGCGGACAGTACATGGGGTATCTTTCGGAACATTCTTACAGTTTAAGGAAGGAATGTTAGGTCTGCTTTTGTCCTGTTATCCAAATTTTTCCCACCTTCATACTACCCCACGGAGGCCATTTCAATGTCCAAGTCATGCAAAATTCTGACTATCTGGGTCAATACATTTTAAAAAAAGAGGAATATTGGGACAGGCCTTACCGATCATCCCAGCTCTGGCTACGATGGATCTCCCTCACGCTCCGGCCAAAGCTCCCCTCTCCATCCTCAATACTTCTTTGGTAGAATCCACTGTCTCCCCTCCCACGGCCTGTGGATCCAGACACAAACAAGCTCGCCATCACACAGCTTCACTTCCTCATAGATGCTGAAGTGCCGCCTTTAAATTGGGAGTCTCCCCCTTTTCACCCTTCAACCCTGTCCTCACCTCTGCCGCCTCTTGTGCTACCCCTGCCCCTAGTCGCGCCAGCCGGGATAGCCCCACCTCCTTTTCCCATGAGCCTCAGCACGGCCACGCTATTCACAGACATGGAGAAGTTCCTCTGGAAGGGATGGACAACCAGTCACATACATATGTACAGGTAAAACACACATACAGATGCCTATAGCTGGAAATACACAAAACAGGAGGCAACTACCCCATTCTGCAGAAGAAAACTTGTTAAAATGAAATTTCCTGCAGCTAGGCAACAAGCCAAAATCCATTAAAAGAAAAGGACAAAAGAACTCATTCTAACAACTCTCTAACCAAAAAGCATATCCACCACCTGGCACTCAGGCCACTGCTCAAGAAGGGGCTGATTTCTTGATAAAGTTTCTAGCTAAAGGACAGGATGCAAAGAAAAGCAATTTTACACATATGAGACACAAACAAGGCAGTGAGAGAGATGCTGCTGCTGTTCATGGATCATCTCTTTACATAGTCACAGAACACGTGTCATGTGACCCCCTTCTCTGAACCTACACCCCGGAGGATTATCAGTGACAGCCGTCAACATTCGACATACAAACAGCGTACTCTCAATGTGCCTTCAAATAGAATCTTAAAAATACCCATATCGCAGTGCGTATGTAAGCAGCACTGAGAGGGACAGGCGTGTGCAGCCCTTGCCCATGGATTCACCTGCTCCTCCTCTGTCAGCGGAACCAGGGCCAAAGGCTCAAGGGGTTCATCCTGCAGAATAGCTGAAAACTCCTTATCCTGCATGTCTTCTGGAACCTACGACACACATACATGGGTAAGCTGAACTCCATAAATGGGGGTCACCATCTCCAAAGGGCAGCCGGGCAGGCGGCTTGTGTGCTCACCTTGTTGTCTTTGATATAAAGTGCTAGCATCTCCTCCCGGCCGTAGCGGTACTCGGCCAGCTTGTACTTTGGCATGGCTGGGGAAGGGGGAGGGGACGCCACACTTCCACCACTGGACAGTGCACGGAGCCTGAGAGAGACGGGGAGGAGGGCAGCATTAGCACACTGGTTAAGCTCCAGTATCCCACCCTAAATCCACCTGCTAAGTCCCAGAATGCGCCAAAGCAAAGCTGGAAATGCTAAGGACTACGTTCAGGTCTGCCATTGAACATGACCCTGGGGGGGGGGGTTGTGCTGGGCTTATGCAGGATGACAAACATCTACCGACACTCCAGTTACATTCCATCATGTACTGGAGGGGAAGAAAAGATACCAAACTGCCAGAAAGCATACACCGAAACTAGACAACTGCACCCTTGGGGAGGCGATAAGCCAGGGTTTGACCGGGGGCCAGATGTGCTGCAGGCTACCAGCAATGCGACAGACAGCACTGAACCCTCCTTAGCCGCCTGCAAATTATGGAGTGGTGGTGGTGGTGGGGGGGGGGGGTGTTACCATTCTGGGCCGAAGTTGAGAGTCTCAGCAGTCATATTCCTCTTGTCCACAAGGAGCGGAGTTTCTGACAAGACAAGCAGAGAGAAAGGGGACTTGATTAGGCTAGCCTGGAAGGCCGACCCAGGCGAAGACAGAAAGATCTTAAAGCGGGTCTCAGAGGCATCGGCCAAACACGCAAGACTATGCAGTGCTGATGAGACATCGAGAGCACAGCTCAATCCATTACATTAAAGTGACGATAAAGCACAGTGACGGTAATGCTGACATAGGCTTCACTCCCTGATGCCCATTTCATTCATGTTGCCATGGACACCCGATACCATCTATTAGTACATATCCGAGTTGGGACATAGTATCACTTCTACCTTCCAAATCCTCTCATTTTCAATAGATGTAGAACCACTGTCCATTTAACCCATATGTGACGTCGTGACATAGCAGGGGGCAGCTAATTCAGCCCCCGGGGAGCAGTACTTGGGGGCGGCACCTTGCTCAGGATACCTCAATGGTACTTTCAATTACAAGTGTGTATCACTAACCATTAAACCACCACTGCCCACTAATACACCACTGATAACCACAACTAATACACTCATATACCACAAGCCCTGCTTTCGCTCGTAAGCAATCGCTTGACGGCAAGCTGACCTGCAGCACCCCCTAGCTGTCATGGGAGACAGCAGTCTGCAAGTACGCATCCTGCCTGAGACCCGGGTGCAAATAGCCTCGGCCACCTCGAGCCAGAAGGCCGGCTTTTAAGAGAGCTGTTATTTCAGTTATTTGCTTACGAAGTGCATAAATCACATTCCCAGCTGTGGAGAGAGGCTGATGCCCTTACTAGAGGTCCTGCCATAATAATCCTGACCGCTCACGGCAGAGGTGACACAGGCACGGTAGTTAAGTTTCTTTTAACCGGTCAGTTCAGTCTGACCGGGATGCTTTTAGCACTTACAGGCTACATGCCCTTTCAGAGAGGGCGTCACATGGGCACGGGAGCCCATAACTGCACAGCGAGGGTGGGAAAGGGGTCGGTGTCCGGGTGCCTTACCCTGTCCAGTGGAGCGGACCAGGTCTGAGCAAGCTTCACCAGGCTAGGTATGGGTCAGGCTGGGGTGAAAGGCCAAACGGTGTTTACTGCTGCTCACAGAGTTTCCGGGGGTAATAGCTGCCTAGTTTGGGCTGGGGGGAGGGCTGAAGAGGAACCGAAGGTGTGGCCCTCAGCCACAAAATTAAAAAAAAAAAAAAAAGACAGACCACACACCCCCAAAAAAAACAAAAAAAAACAAAAACAGTATAACAGGAACGATGATGAAAAAATAAAAACAATACCACCAATATCAATAAACCAAATGTTCAGCTGCAGGCGTAAAAATGAAAGAGAGCAGTGTGGAGTGTGTGAGGCGTGCAGTGCCAGGCTCCTCCCCTTCCTCCCGCCGTCTCACTGCCCAAACCGCGTGTCACAGCACTTCCTCTCCACTCAGCTCCAGATTCTTGTGTGTGTCTCTCTCTCTCTACTTTCCTTCCTCCTGTGAAAATAAAAGGAGACGACAGTGAAACTCCACTGCCACGCAGGTGCAGGGATGTCACAGCGAGGCTACTTGCAACCCCCCCCCCCCAACAACCTGTTCAGTCATTCAATTCAGTCATTTCTCATTTCAATTAGTCAAATTGATACAAGACATCATTTTAAGTTACCCTCAACCAGAGCCTGCCAGGACACCCCCTCCCCCAAATCGGAGATGCTCTTCAACTCCAAAATCAGGGGGCCAAGCTGTCCCAACCCTGCCCCTTCTGAGACAGGACTAAACATACCTCAGGGATCCAGAGGGCGACCAAAAATCTGTCAAGTACAAAAATTTTTCCTTAGTTGCATGGTGCACCTAACATTTCACAGGTCTGTTTTTTTTCTTCCAGGGTCAAAGCCAATCAAAGGCAGAGAAGGGGAGGGTCTTTGGACCAGTGTTTTTGTCAATATACGTTTATGAATGTTTTAAAAAGGAATGTTTTTATTATAAAATCGTTCACATTTAGATTGATAGTGAAATCAATATTTATTAGATTATTGATGTACATTTAACTCGATAGTGATATGTTGTATTTCTTATAGCCGTATATTTAGTTCGGGAGCAACATTAATAATCTGTCAGCTATACTATCAAGCTAAATGTAAGTGGTTTTTAAATAATAATAAAAATGCCCTTAAAACATTCGTAAATGTACAGTTTCAGAAACACTGGTCTAAGAAACACATCCTGCGTTGTGACACGTGTGACCACCAGAGAGGCCCCCTGCCCTGCAGTATTTCAGCGTCAGGCAGTGGAAAAAATGAAACTTTTTCCATAAGTATCTAGAAGCAGCGCTCACTGATTTATTTGAAGTTTTCAGTTTGTCAAGCACTTAAGTTTTGTTTTTGGATTTTTTTTGTGCTGCGATTCATATAAAGACAAACATTTACCTGCACCTTTATTCCTGTTTACAATCATTTACATAACTATCACTGTGTATGGGTAATGACAAAAGGTAACTCTCTAAATGCATTATTGTGGCACTAAAGACACTGTGACAAATTTGGGTACACCTAAATTTTGCAGCAGTGCACCAAAATGAAAAAGTTAGCTGCACCAATGCAACCAATGCAAAAAGTTAGGCTGGAGACCTGCATCCACATATACAGAAATCTGCTCCTTTAATGTTTGATTTTCCAAATACACGTTTCACCGTTTCAGAAAACAACGGCAGAGCAACAGAACCCACAAACTGACCTTAACTCTGAACAAACTTCTAAGACGTGATTCCCAAATGGAGATAAGGCAGTAAAATCAACATGGATACGTGCAACCTTGATTACCTGGTCTGGTGGAGCTGGTTAAACCCAAACTGAATGAGGAGCAGACTATTAACATCTGTAAAACCAAGCAACCAAAGCTCATTTCAGAGTGACAGTGTCAGCCTGCAGAAACCGTAAGGAGCTGCTCTGAAACTTTCCAGAGCGTGCTGTCAGAGATAATAGAAAGGGCAAGGAATATAACAGACTCCATAGCAAAAAAAAGACTTTACATTCAGTAGTGAAATGCAAGGTCATTTCTGCACTGCAAAGGGCACTGTCTGTGTGCGCAGGCAGAAAGCGCCCAAGAAGTGTCATTTTTAAAATGCATGCATGGGAATGTTATACTTAATTCCAAATTAATACTGTTTCTTGGTACAGCTGACATCACAGTTGTTTAAAACACTTAAGAGTGACACTCGCCTCCCCCCCTTATAATTAAGTTTTGTCTACAGACTAGTGCTATCCCAAACAATTATTCTTTAAATGATTAATCTAGTGATTTTTTTTTCGATTATTCAACTAATCTAACAACTAATTTTTTGATTGATCTGATAAATTTATTGATAAGCAATTATTTTCAAGTTCTTTTTAATACAATTCACCCCTCCCTCACACACACAAATCTGAAATTCTCATTAACATTTACTAAAACATTTCTTAACTGAAGTTATTAATCACTGAAATAGTTTTTACTTAATTATTTAAGTACACCTTTTTGACTTTAATGTTGAAATAGATCGTAAAACATGGAATGATTTCATAACTAGAGAAACATATTTTTAACAAACACTACCAAAGGCAGCTTATAGTTAAGCTTACTTCAGTGAGCAAGGAACGATTTAGGCTACAGTGTGTAAGAGTAGTTGTAATCGATAATTTGTCTCACTCAAAACAGAATAGGTAAACAGAAAATATAAAACCGCTGACACAGCGTCATTAAAATCAGGTACAGTAGAGGCGCAGAAAAGATGTCATGACTGAAGTATTTCCAAACTTTTTTGCCGTGCGTTTCTCCACAGGCTCCAGAGCTCTGCAGGTAGACGCAGCCACATGTGTTGACATGTGTGCGGGGGGGCGGGGCAGGCGGCAAATTTCCTTTTTGCAGGGTGGTAGGAGATGTCTCATTAATATTTATGAGAGAAGTGATTGATGATTGGCCAGTGCATGCCTTTTGATATAGATATAGATATAATTGATATAGTTTTAACGGTGCCAGCAGCGAAACAACTAGCTAGCTTATTAGCGGAATAACTTTGTATTGTAAATGAAAACCATGCCGCAGGTCCAATAAATAAAATATTGTTGTTCTGGCAAAGAGATCATCAGGTGGACAGTAAAGTTCAGTTATTAGCAGACTGTTTTATGTTATTGCACAATTCTTAAAAGGATAGTGTTAATGTGCTTCCAAGGGAATAATGTACTTTCTTTTACTATACGTTTAGCTCATCACAGTGCATTGCAGTTACAAAACATTTATGTATTTTTACACAATGCGACGACACTAAAATTCCACGTCGACGCATTTTTATAATCGACATCATCGATTACGTCAAATAATCGTCCCAGCCCTATTACAGACATTCACTAGTACAAACATACATGCTCCAACTGAAAAACAGAAAAAATAATATATAAAAAGGCTTCTGATTTTATAGGAGTCTATCATCTTCTAGCAAGTAATTTAGCATTTTGTAAGCAAATGAAGAGAAAACTCAAATGATTTGGCAAATTCACAGCACTTGACAGCATAAAGGTATACTAAGTTTGATGTGACATAACCTGAACAGGCAGCGCAACTGGAAATGAGCACGGACAGCTATGCTGACACAGACGGCCACTTCCACACTCCAAAGACCAAATTCAAAGGTCTGTTTCAAAAGGTCAAACTCCACTTGTTACACCAATGCAGCTCACTCCTGGATTGAGGTGGAGCTGTAGGAAGCTCTAGGGATTCCGACTTGCTCACAGGTACCGTAAAATCATCAGTGCCTGCAAGTCAGAAAAAGAAACCGCTTGATCGCATAAAAGTAATAAAAAACTCCTGCCATGGAGCACGTCTTTGCAACAACTGCATTTGCGTTTCGCCAATCATCTTGCCACACTTCCTTTGGAGTGCTGCTTATAGCAGACAGTTTAAGCCTGTTCATCAGCAGAACATAAGCTGTGCATTGATAACTGACCCACCCAAGGACACCAAATTAATTCTTAAATCAACCTGCGTGGGATGTTCAGAACGTAGGCAGCATAAAAAAGCAACAGAACCCAAGGTTGTCACTCAGGAATTTCACTTGCATGGGGGGGATGATTTAGACAGACTTGCAATTCTTATGGTCGACCTAGGGGGAGACCAGCCTTTCTGAGACCCGCCATGAGAGTAACTGCCCGTATCATGTCATGTTACTAGACCTCAGTGCTGCTTTATTTAATGTTCAATGAACATGTCAATGTTTGGCATACGTTTCAGATGTGCTGGGGATCGAATTTCTACAGGCAGGAGATCAGCAAGCTCACAGCCACAGAACACATAATGCTTGTATATCCTAATAAGGCTGTTTGGGTGATTCTCACAAAATCTTGGTTTCAAAGATTTCAAACATGTTTTTAAAAGCGACTTACATCAACAAATTTCTTTTTTAGTCATTAATAACCAGGTCTGAGGTATTTGTAAGAATAAATCTAAAATCCTTTACAGAAAATTTTACATTTTTTTTTTAACAAGTGCTTAAAAATCTCATTCCCGTAACAGTCTGAAAACATCAAGACCATTAAGAAAACCAATACATTTTCACATTTTTAAAAATTGTTTAATCACAGTCATGCTCAGTTACTTGAAACTGAAATAATGTATATTCTTAAATTAACATTTTTATTTGATTTTGACTGATTTCTATCATTACCACGACACCTTCTGGAATCTACAACCTAATATTTTTTTGTATATGACAGAAACTTTATATATTTTTTAAATAATGTGGCAAACCTGCAGGAACACAACATATAGATTCTACACATGCATTTAAAAGCAAACTATTTTTTTTGATAAATTACTATAAATGGACACCTGTTTCGGTAATGGTAGAGGTTTCGTAAATGAGGTTGATGGTTTCATGAGAATCACCCATTTTCTGTCATCTGATCAAGTCACATGTGCATTACATGAGAGATCTCCATCAAGGCATCAAGTGAGCCACCATGCTTGTTGCACCTTTTTTTTATTATATCACTAGACCATGAGGAAATCTTTTTCTGATCAGGACATGCGGGAACCAGCACGCTATGAATGAGGATGACATGGGAATCAGGGCGGAAGCTTGGTATTGACAAAGAATACAAACACTGGGCAGCTAATGAGACCAAAGCGTTATCCAAAAGAGCCACAGAAGAGGCCCTCTGGTCGTCAGAATAAAACAATTACATATTACGTCAGTGCTACATTCCATAACAACACAATTGCAATAGCTGCTTTAGAACATTAATTTGCAAATGTAATTTTGCCCTTAACCGTCAAGTTTATTAAATTCAGTCGGCATACAGAAAATTCATACTGAATAAAAAAAAAAAAAAAAAAACTATAAAGTGGGAGGAACCAATACAGCTGACCTCAACTAAGACTGTGTAGGCCCATTTTCAAACTCAAAACAGAACTTTCCAGAAAAATTAAGTAAAACTGAAACCCTTGCCTCATTTGCAGTCAGACAGTGCTGATTAAACAATTGAGGGGGATCTTTAGTTTTTCAAGCTCTGGGGTTTTACCAGGTAAAAAATATGGTTATGCTTATCATGTCACTGCCTTCAAGCAGTCTGCAGCTTTAATGCGTTTTCCACAAAGAAGAATTTGATACCATCTACAATGTTGGCTCTCAAATTCCACAAAGTCCAAATAGTCTATAAACCTTGTGAGATTCATCCAAAAGCAAATACCGGCACAGGGCCAGCAAGACAGCAGCTCTCATGTACCAGCAGTGAAGCGAGCTGCACTGCACTGGACTGACATTTCCCTCAGCATTTTGGACCCAATTCATGGATAATGGGCACAAATGGCTGCGAAACACAACGGCGACATTCAAAATTTGCTGGGTTTGGGGGGGGGGCTTATTTTATGCATCACCTTGTTGACCCATGTCAACTCAAAAGCATCAATTTCAGGGAAGAACAAACACAAAATTGTACATAGATCACAATGAGGGACCAGACTGGAATGCAGGAAACTCGGAGCTGCTAAGGACTTCATGATACTGCACTAATGAAGTTGTGTATTTTTATCCATAAAAAGAAAACTTCCACCAAAGTATTTTCATGAATTTCACAAAGTCTCAGGAGATCTTCTCTCATCAGCACTTGCCTGCGAATGCCCAGGAAACCTGCTTGGATGCAATAACATTTGGACTGACTTCCCCCCATTAAAGAGGAATGAAACCTTAGATCGTGATGGCAGATGGGGGGATAAAACCCCAGATCTTTAAGCCTGCCTCATGTTAGGTCTCATGCTCCATAAAAACAGCAACCACCACGGCAGTTTATAATAAGGACTTTCAACAAAGCTTTTAGGTAAGCCATCCATCTTCCAACACCTTATCCTGATTCTGGGGGGCACAGGCTGGTGTACCCCGGGCAGCAACGGGCACAGGCTGCTGCACACCCTGGACAGGATGCCAGTCCATTGCAGGGTGCACACACACACAATGCTAATTAGCATGTTCTTAGATGTGGAGAATAAGGCAGAGTACCTGAAGGAAACCCACACAAAGCGCCGAGAACTTATAAACTCCACACTGTGGTGGTGGGATTCAAACCCTCATCCCTTGGAGATTTGAAAAATCAGACTGATATGTCTTTAGCTTGTCCTCCGTTACCATAATATGTGCCTCGTTTCCACCAACACGGAGCCAGTGCTGGCGATGGACTGGTTCTCGCCTAGTGCCTTTTGAGAATGTGCCCGCAGAACAGAAATGTGACGTAGGTAGAAGTGAAAGTAAAGGTTAATCTGTATTTTGTTTTGGATTAAAAAAATTTATAAACCGAAAAAAAAAAAAATTTCAGAATCTGACTCATTGCTCCCTATCTCTATTGCCTATATTCATTTTATTGTCCGTAAAGGCTCCCTATCTGTATGTGAGTTAATTCTCGCTCACTGTTTTAGCGCTGTTCTTTAAAGGATCGCGCAATAAGAGTCTTCTAAAAACTGAACTTTGCAGTCCACCTCATTACCTCTTCACCATTCAAGCTTCACAATATTAAATATTATATTTATTCGACCTGTAGCGTTTAAAATTTATTAAATCGATTTTTAATTTCTACGGAATTAAAAAAACAATGCAACGTCATCATTTATGTGAATTATACAAGTGTTTTAAGGCAAGCTAATATTTTACATAAAATCTTAGCAAACATAATCCATACATGCTATTTCACGACATTTTGTCTTCGTAAAGGCTACCCCGTCTGTGTGTGTGCAAATGAGTTTATTCTCACTTGCTGTTTTACTGTTGTCTTTTTAAGGATCAAGCAATAAGTCTACTAAAAGCTGAACTTTGCCTCATGCTCTCTTCGCCACTCGACCACCACAACATTTTATTTATTCCACCTGCAGCACATACTATATGATTAAATCTGGCCAGCAGACCGATCTTACATTTTTCACATAAAAATGATGTAACGTTATTCCACTAGTAAGCTGGCAAGTTGTTTCACTGCAAGCACTGGCGATATTAGACTAAACTATATTTTGTTATGGATTGAATTTTCCGGGTATGAGGTAGGTTTGGATGCGATAGCACATCCCACTTTCGCTGACACTACAGTGCCAAATTCTGAGAGCAGCTTTTCTGTTGTGCCATGCTGGAGCCATTTTTTCCAGCCCAGGACCAGATTTTTGGGGTGGAAACGAATGGAACTGGTTCCGGATTGGGAAAAAGTCTGGCAACGACACCAGCACCGCGTTGGTGGAAATGAGGCAACAAATAATTCTATTGCAGTTTGCACACACAGTTATCCCTCTGGGAATGAAACAACATAATACCAAAATACCAGAAACAATGAAAAGATGCAAAGTAATAACCAAAATTATTAAATAATTTCTGAACAAGATAAACAGCGACCTCACAAAAACCCAGTTCAGCGAGGAGACCCTGAATGCCAGACCTGTGGGAATTCACACTGGACTGTCACACATTTGACACTTCTCTCCATATCAGCAGGTGATTAACTTCACTGGTGTTTAAACTGTATGCTTGAGAACAGAGAAGGTTTGACTGCAGTGCATACATTTTATAAAGTATCATTATACAATGACTTTATAGTAAGGGGAAGTAACAGCAAGCAGACAGACAGACCTGGGTTTGGATAACATAGGTTCACACTCAGTGCAGTCTCACATACTCTCTCATACACACAGTGTAGAGTCATACAAATGCACAGTGAAATGCATGAGAGCTCTCTCTCTGACACACACACACACACACACATGTACTACAGTCTCTCACACGCTGTCATAGAGACAGTGCAAAGACACACGCAGAGGGCAAAATCACACACATACACACACTCTCATTATAGTGTCATAGGCACACAGTGAAAAGCCACACACACACGGTGCAGAACCATTCACACAGAGACACACACATGATACAGAGTCTCTCACATGCACACAGTGCAGCGTCACACACAGACACACGGTACACTTTCTCACACACATGGCACAAAGTCTGTCATACACATACGGTGCAGCAGAATTCACGCACAGACACAAACGGTACAGCGTCTCTCACACGCACACAGTGCAGTGTCACACACAGACACACACACACAGTGCAGTGTCACACACACATTGCAGTTACAGACAGACACACACACGGTACAGTCTCTTACGCACATGGTTCTCTCATACTCACACACGGTGCAGAGTCTCTCGTGCACACATATACATACATACACGCACATATATAGTGCACATATATAGTGCAGTGTTTCGCACACAAACATACATCCACAAACATACACGGCGCAGTCTCCCACACACAGACACACACGATGCAGTCTCACACACATGGTGCAGAATCTCTTCCACTCCCTTCACCGCAAGCACTCGGATAAACAAACATGGAGACACGTCGCTGCTCCCCCACTCCCCAACACCGCGTCGAGTGATTGCAGGTCGATAATGGACCAAGCTGAGCCAGTCCGGATTTACTGTAACCCACCCAAAAACGACGAAGATGCAGGAAACGAAAAGATTCGCGTATGGGTGCTTGTGTGTAGCCGGAGTGTCCATGAGCATTCACACACACACACACCCCCCTCCCCATATCCTCGGTAAAGCCTTCAACCCTACCCCGCTGCTCGCTAAGGCCTCCTTCAGCCGTTTCCAAATACACGGATAAAAAATGAAGCTCTGCCGCCGCCCCGGGGAGACTAAACACACCGAAATTCAGCGTGCACAACCCTATTACCGGCGTCACAAACAGAGGCAGGGGCGGCCGGTGACTGGAGAGCCAGAGCCAAAGCTAGAGCTAGAGCCGGAGCCGGCAGAGCGCGGCGCTCACCTCCGCAGAGCCGCCGCTAGCTGGCTGGTGTTTCGGGCGCTTCGGCCGTGTCCCGTCCTCACTTCTTGTGCATTGGTGTGCGTCTTCGTTTTTGGGTATTTTTATCGGGTAATCTTCTTTCTGAGTAATTTTTCTTTATGTCGTTTTTGTCGTTTTTTTGTTTTTTGCTTGCCCCTCTCCAACGCTCGCTGCGTGTTTATACGTGCTCTCGGTCTCTCCTGTTGTTTGTGTTTTAGAAAGATGGCCGTCCTACCCTCACCACGTGACTCGTTTCTTTTGGGCCGGGGGGGGCGGCGTGGGATTGTAACACCATAACTATTAAAATGTATATTGCATTGAGGGATAGGTAAAACATTATAGTGGGTGTATGTGTGACATATGTACATATGATCATAGCTTATGTGCATTGGTGCCTGAAATGAAACTGATCAAAGTGTAGCTCACATATTCCTGTCCTGCACACAGATGATCTCTACTCGTAGCTCGTCCGGTGTTTGGAAATGATTCCCCGATCACCCTTTAGGAATATCGAGCTAAAGACACCCCTAATTGTCATTATAAAAGTCTTATGCATGCCATTAAAGGCATGTTTACTGCGTTACATCTCAAGCAGTTACTTAATCTCTAGTCGGACAGTTCGAAGAAAAGGGCCCAGTATGGTAGCACCATGCAGGTCCTGTGGTCTGTACTACGATGCGGGGTTATTGGCTTATCGGGGTAACTTGTCAGATTTAAGGTAGTCTGAGCAAAATGTGAGTGAACGAATACGAAGTCCATTTAAACTCTGGTACCTTAAATCCGACAAGTTACCCCGATAAGCCAGTCGCCCCGCTTCGTAGTACAGGCCACTGGTCAGGTCATCCAAAGGGCTTTACTGTAACGGGTAGCACAGGATTTAATAACTCGAAAGTTAATTCCCGTTTGGGACCGCCGTCCTCTCCAAATTCTAATGGTTATCCGGCGCAGCGTAAACTACCCCATTATTTTAGAAACCAATGTTATTACTTTGGAAATCATGTACATGCATTTCTACATCACCAGTGATAAGTGATGCCGCTTTTAGGAAACAGGTGTAACAAGTGAACAAATAAGAAAAAAAAAGAAAAGAAAAAAAAAAATATATATATATAAAGAGGCTCCATAAAACGCTATATAGATCAGGCTAGAAATATATTATGTCATAACACTAAATGTCCACTTGAAGGCAGCATAGCCTAGAATCTCAAAATGACACGATAACTCGCAAGACCTCTTCTTGCTTGCATTCTAGTCTGTTGGAGTGAACGTTTTAATTCTGCTGTCTCGCCGAAGTCGGGACTGTTACCCAGCATGCAGGCCTTGGCTGCTGTGAACCCCAGGGCTGCAACAAGCACAAACGCAGACGCTTCTCACAGCAGTTTAAAATCGAGTAGGGGCTACATCGACTTAAAAAAATTACGAACCACATTATGACGAACGCTGGAATTAGGGTTGCCACCTGGGATCGTCCCATATTGGAAAATAAATCAATACGGGACGTGATGTGTCCCGTATTTTCGTACAGATTTCGTTGGGAGTTGGCGTAATGTATTTCTTCCGTGACGTGTGGGAATATGGCTATAAATTGGCGTGATAGCAATAGCAATCTGCGTTCAGATGTTCGACGCGTTCCCACGCTGAGGTTGTTTCCAGCTGTCACTGTGCCTTATGGCAGAAGGCAGCATCTGCTGTTGAGAAAGGAGAGTGTGCTTCATCTCCCAAAGCTGGGATGTGGTCATCTTGCCTATATTATAACTGTTTGATTGTCGAATCAGTAACCCCAAACTAAATCTGAAGAATATGATTAGGAGAGGGATTGATATCCATCTTCCATGTCCATAGGGTTTACAACTTTTACACATCTGGCGTGACACACTTTCAGATTGTCATACTCACGCAAGAAATTTATGGCAAAAGTATACTATTCCATTATAAACCTAAAATTAGCTACATCAAAAGCACTGGGTAGTTTGCAAACCCTACAGACTATTTGCAAGGTAATAAGAGTGTTACAAACACGTATATGTGTGTGCATGTATGCAGTATTGCCAACTTTGGTCAGCTGGCTGGTGTGAAATTTTCAATCCAAGACAAGTCTGCACCCTCATTTATGTATCAGTTTTATAACCTTGTAAATAGTCTGTAAAATTACCCACAACACTTCTGATGCAGCTAATTTTAGGCTTATAATGGAATAATATAGATTTGCCATAAGATTTCTTGCATGAGCGTGAGTCAGAAAGCGTGAGTGTCACACCAAATGCGTGAGAGTTGGCAGCCCTGTGTATGTGTGGATTTGTCTTGAATTGAAAATCTCCCACCAACCAGCAGACCAAATTTGACAACCCTGCACCCAGCTATCCAGTACAGAGATAGGGTCAGACTCTGCCAGAAAAGGTGCATGGGGGGCACCCTTCATTGGAATCCAGCGCATCAGAGAACACAAACGACCGTGGGCAGTTTTTGGTGCTTTTCCACTGGCATACAGTAACCGACCTGTACCCCAGCCATACTGCGATGAGAGACTAGTTACAGCACGGTTCCTGCTCATTTCGGTTTTCCACTGCAGGAGGGTCAGCTCTGTAAAGGCATAGCCGAGTTTGGAGAGGGACAGTGATGCAAAACCGAAAAGACACATTTACTGTTCACATGGTGTACGTCACGATTTACTATGAGCTGATATTCACTAACATGTCTGTGAGAATCACTGTGTTATGTTAGCATGATGTGCTAGTGGAATTAGCATTAGCCTGCGTAAATTTGCATTCTGAATCATTATGTTCAGCCATTCTGTAGTACTTTTTCAAGTAGGAGGATGGAAATTTTCAAGTTTGGTGATGCGACCGGCTTGGTATAGTAACGTTTTCAGCCCTGCTAGTAACCGGGGCTGTGTCAGCATGGGTACGGCTCAAATAATTTATGATGGAAAATCACCTTTTCGCAGCTTGGTTCTTGGTGCCAGTGGAATAGCACAATTATAGACAACTAATCACCCAGCCGCATTTTTATGGAACGCTGGAGGAATCTCCAGAAGATCCAGTTTGGAAGTATAAACCATCATGATAGGGAGATGGAAATGTATGAGCAAACTGAGAAGGGGGAGACTAAACTATTTAAACAAAGTGTTTGGCATATATACTGTCTAAGACAGTGATTTTCATGCATGTTGTGTTTTTGATTTGCAGTACCAAGCATGTCAGTTTCATGATTTGATTAGTTAGCGGGTGGGAGAGATGAAGTTGCCCGTCTCAACCCATCTTGCTCATCTTTGTGAAAACCACGTAAGAGAAAGACAACAGCTGAATTTCCCCGGCTCATCGTCGGAATGGCATCGGTGGAACACTCAGGGTATGACAGCAGTGACCTCATTCCCAGTGGCTGACGCCCGTCAGTATTTCGCCCACGTAAGGGGGGACTTCCTGCTCAGATGTGTGTTGCTGATACCCTGCGGACCCCTCGCTGGCACGAAGTGCTGCTGACTGGGTGGCAGGGCTGCTACAATGACGCTTTAGGTTCACAGACAGTCCTGGCTAGAGATGCACCCTATGAATCACACCCCCTCCAGATCCTGAAATGAAGTGACTTTTCCTGATTCCGACGTCACCTTTCTCAGCAAAACAGCCGCTGATCATCTCCGCTGATGAGAAAAGCTAATCAGGAACCCCCGCCAACAATCAGCCATCATGGAGCAATCGCTGCACAGCTTCTCGTCTCGTCTTCCCACGGATCCGTGCCGTCTTGCTCACCAAAACTTTTTATGTCCTGCTTCTGTGTGTGCTGGAAAGGAGAGGTCATCTCTCCTGGGTAACCCTGATGATTTGAATGTGAAGTACAAACGGATGGATTCACATGATCAGCACTGAAGGAGAGGCGAGAACAATGAGAAATCAATGTAACCAACAAAGTGGATGGTAGGAAACAAGGGATATACCCAGAATGCATCTGGGCTCATGGTGTGACCCAGAAACGAGGCCTTCCTGCACGCGGCACCTTATCAATCAACACGTCAAATTTCCTCTCCTGGTTTTCATTCATGTTTTTTATCTAAGAATAATATTTTGAATTTAAATACCAAATAGCTCTGTGATAAAAGAAGAAAAAAACAGGAAAAAACTATACAAACATCCTTCAAAATATTTGCATCGTGACAAAGCCTGATTGAGAGGCATTAGAAAAGGAAACGGCAGCAAAACAATATCGTACAAAACAGGACAAACAAAGTTTCTTTAAGGTCCAGAAAACCCAACGGTTCCCATCATTGGGGGAGATGAACCAGCGTCTGTGAGAGGGACCAGGCCAGAGGGATGGATCTGCCGGATGTCCTTCGCTGTTTTTCCAGGCGGCCGTGTTATCGGTGGGAGTTTGTCTCCGTGAGTCAGATGCACACTCCGGCGTTCTCACGTAGGCCTCACCATCACCCTGCCTGAACCCGACTCCTGCCTTCCTTGCTTCCAGTCTTTTGTCCCCGTGAACTTGCTGAGGACACCCAGAGACGTGCTCCCTGCTTGAACACCAACCTCACCATTTACTCTCTTGGCTTCCAAACAGGCAGGAATATATATAAATGATCGTCTTATAAATGTGACATAATGTACATTCAGAAACAGAAATGTAGGTAATGTTGGTATGAGAGACAGGGGAGGTAAGGGTAGCTGAGAATGGTCAGTCTCTGTGCAGTGATAGGTCGGCTGTGCTGTCACATGGGCATGGTGAGAGCGGGGCATTGGTCCAGAAAGGCGTCCACTATCACACTAACATGTATATGATCTTATGTACGTCTGCGGTGCTTGGCATAAAATGGCGAGATCATCAGACACACGAATGTCCACATCCCCACAGTTTAGTTCATCGAGTTTAGTGCTACAAACACAGCATGCTGTCCTAGTTTTCAGTTTATGTGGATTTTTCTCATCCTTTCATTCTGGGCTGGTCCATCTGAGGGCTGCCCCCTGCTGTACTGTCTGTGCATTGCTCTGGAAATCCATTGGGCCTGCTCTAGGACCCATCCTATTCAATGCAGCGCTCCAGTCAGCTGGTCCCACCCGTCCCCAGGAGCGCTGATCAGCTGCCATCTCGGCGACAGGCTGCCGCTGAGGCCAGCAGGAGGCGCACTTTGCCACGCAGGAAGTTTGTGTGGACACGGAGCAGCTCGGGCATGGAGGACACACGCCAGGTTTCCTCATGGGCAGTGCCACCTGTTGGAGGCATGTATTCCTGAGGTGGACCAAGGGAAGGGGTGGTGACAGCGGAAAAAATAAAATCAGTATTCTCCCCATTTCGTACCAACCTGCACAATCTTCCTGACCAATCAGGTGGTTAAATGAGTATTTCTATGTCTGCCTTAATATCATGTC